CGCGTCTTCGCAGATCGCGACTTGCTCGACAGCAGGAAGTCGAAGATACCTCAGAATGGATGTGGAGGGCTGGGAATCAGCGGACTGGCAGCTGATCACTTTCAAACATCGCAGTCGTGGTAAGACTACGGTGCGTTCAGCGCCTGGTGGTTTGCGACACTGCATCCAGCGATTGATCTCTAAGGCTTCGAGCTTGGCGGCTTGTTCAAGAGAGTCGAGTAGCAGTGAGAGACGCGCGTCCCCGGATATATGCAGGTGGGTCAGACTGCAACGCAAGATACGCGTGGTGGGCAGGCGTTGTAGAGCGGCGTGTATTTCAGGCGAGTAGGCCGACTCCTGTAGAATGACACACTGGCCGTATGACAAAATCGCTTCACGCCATACGCGGTTGAGACGCGCAAATCGCAACCATCTGGGCGGATCAGTCCACAGATCGGTAGTTTGGCTATCGAGTTCCTGCAAGATGTTCTTGACTATGGCGGGATTGGACATGGCAGCCGACGCCCCGTGGTCGCCGCGACCTTGGCGCAGCCATGACTGAAGAGTGAAACGTAGGTGGCGCGGAAGAGTTTGGCATAGTCGCAATTGTTGTATGACTTGTTCCAGTTGCCTGCACGCATCGCGCTGTGCAGTCGTATCGGCGGATGAAACGAGAGCTTGTACGGAGCTGCGTTCAGCAGAGACGAGAGCCTCCTTGAGATTGTCGAGATCCTCGGGTGCCAACCTGAAGGTTTGTGAGATAAGTAGTCAGCATCATGGTTCACAAAAGGGACAATCGACTTCGAGGAGCGGAAATGCATCGGTATAGACTTGCCTTTTATACGCGTTTCCATTAACGCTGATCTCTGGCCGCGCCCTTATTGTGAAAGATCCGAGATATGAGAGTCGAGCAGTGAAGACACCAATCACTCTTCCTAGAGTCACAAGAGATTCGGCGCGGTTCACAGTATCGAGGGCATTCTCCCACTCAGCACGCCAGACCAGCCCCGGGACCTCAAAGGACACCTTATTCACACGAATCGCGACGTCGACACATTCTGCGAGTTCTTGATAAGTCAAACTGAAAGTCCTATCATTAGTTTTATGTCTTGAGGCTACACAGAACCATCAGTACAGACCTGGTGCTCAATGCAGAATGATCATCCATTTCGTCCATGGTGGGCGAGAGCAAAGTCGGTGGCCGTGAACCGCGCGCGAACGTGGATCACTAGCGCGCCGCGCCTCGTGTCCAGATACACACAAAGGGATGGGGTTTTCCCTCTATGCGACGTACCGAAGGACCAAGGCGCCGCTTCTGGGCGAGTGACATGGCTGTGCAAGATCGAACCCATCTCGAGCTCGGATCAAATCAAGTACATACATGGACAACATGAGGGTAAGGTCACAGCGATGCATAGTACGCTACACGTGTGAAACGACAGCAAGATGGATAATGCAAATGTATGTGTGTACATATGTGATATGCATAGCAGCACGGTACGTGATGAAGTCTAGTTCCGAATGTCTACGATCTCGAGGGGCATATCCGTCAAGACGACATGGTTCTTGTCGGCGTCCTAGAAGCAGCGTTAACATGTGTCCTACAGAGACGGAGTGATGAACTCACGGTATAGATGGGAGCAGGAGGATGAGGGTGAAAGGCTTCCTTGGCTTGGCAGTCAAGGACGATCTGAAGGCCGGGAGGGTCGGTGAGGCGGAAGATGCCGAAGCTAATGACACGATGAGCGTCGGCACAGTGTGAAAAAGTGGAGAAGAGGCGTACCTAGGGTTGTACTTGGGTGCGCAGACGATAGCGAATGACTCGGGAAGCATCCTCTGGAAGCCGCTGTGGGTATGAAGGTCGACAGACGACATGAAGCCTACCTCAGATAGTCAGAGCGAGTCCGCGGATAATCCAGTAAAGACGTACAAGACTGAGTCGGGTGTGTATGGATCCACCCAAGCGTGACCAACGACCGCGTCTCCGTGAACTCGAGTACAAGCTCCTCTTCATCCATCGTGCAGGTATCGCTCGTTGAATGTTGCTTGGGTATAAGCAACGTTGTGACGTAGAAGCGGTCGCCGTCGTCGCGACCCAGTAACAGCCCGCATGTCTCGCGATTACGCTTGGTGTTGATACCAGCGATGGCAATGAACCTGTCGATCACTTCGCGGGGAGTGTCTACTCGGCGCAGCCGTGGAGGGCCCTTGTTTGAACTGGACTGGGTCTGCTGAGCGGGTGGCGCCTGCACGCGCGTTGGTGGCGCGGACGGTGTAGACCGTGAAGGTGCACCATGCAATCCGTAGGGCATTGCGGGCATAGGCAGAGGGTTATTGTATAGCGCTTGGCTCGGATTCGGTTGTTGAAGTGCACCAGGCGGAGGCGGCCCAACGAACATCGATGATGCTGAGGGCGTATACCCCTGCTTGATCTGATGTTGCGACATTAGAGACGGGTATTCGATAGGCTGGACTGGTGGGGGTGTGGTCTTCGTCCTATTCAGTGGTCTGAATGATACGTCAGTACTGGCAATGACTAAGATTAGGACGGTTCACGTACGTTCGGGAAGGACGTAAGCCGGATTGAGGCCTAATAGCTATGAGATCCTCGTTCCATCGACGAGGTAAATGACGTACCGAGATGGGCTTTCAAGCGGTAACTGCAGGAAGGGTATTGGCATCGGTGAGGGCATAGTGTGCGCTGGAACGGCGACTGGCGCTGACACCGATACCGTAGGTACAGGAGGCGCTGAGCGAGCTGCCTGAGCCGCCGTCTCCGCCTCGCGCTGCCGTTGAGCTATGCCGTCCTGCTCCTGCCGTCGACGTCGTAAGATATCCTCTCCGCGCCTCTTCATCTCCTCTTGCTGCTGCTCATATCTCTCCTTCTCTTCAAATCGTCTCCTCTGTTCCTCGCGTGCGTAGTCCAAGACAGGTGCCGGGAGCTGGGAACGGCTATTACTCCGAGCAACGTGCTCGTCTGCGTAACGTGCCGAGCGGCGTCCGCCGTCGTCAACCCCGAATCGCACATTGTCCGTCAACGATTCTGATGGATCGGGAGGAGAAGGTTGCGGTGGGCGGTTGCGGTGTGGGGCATTAGACGCCGTGGAACCCGGTGACCGACTACTCGATTGAGACAAGGGCGGTGCGTAAACGGTCGAAGATGACGGGAGACGGTCGTATGCTTCGGATTGTTCAAGAAGCGTGTTCTTGATCGTCGCGAGTTGGTCCAATATCTCTTGACCATGCTACGAGAGATGATCAGTACGAGGCCAGAAATACGTATATGACATCGGAGCGATGAGTGGTTTGAGGCAGCGAGGATCAGCCGGATGACAGATTCCATTCAGCTCAATACAACTCTAGAGACAAAGCTGGACTGATATGGAATATGACAGGTCCGGCCCAGGGGCACATCATGCCAACCAACATTCCAATCGCATTTCAATAACGAACAGTGGAAGCATGCCCTTTGGGAGGATCGGCGACAGCGCCGTGGCAGGGCATGTTGCAAAGTCGGTACTACCATCATAAACCTTGGAATTGCACTCACCAGTCCCATGTTGTGTCTCTGCGTGGAGTTGAGGAGTGTACGATAGTCCTTGTGTGCGGGTAGCTTCTCGAGTACAATTGTGGCGGCGCGTGCGAGCTGGATAAACGCGTTCTCCAGATCATCTTCGTCATACAGGCGACGACCAGCCTTCCGCGCGTTCTCCGCGTTGCGCAGATACTGCTTCAGCGGCAGACTATCGTCATCCGTGCCGGACTTCGCAGCTTCGGCGAGCTCAGCGATCGTGCGTGGTGGTCGTCGTTGTCCGGAAGAGACAGACAAGCGGGCCATAGAGTCTGCAGCACGATCAACGTTACTACTCGAGGCACTATGGTGGTGTGCGTTGGGAGGAGGCATGGTGGCGGTAAGCGGTCAAGAGAGTCAGTTAGTGAGGCTATGTTCATGGCTGCGCGAACTGAGCGTGGCCCTCGCTGATGGGAAGCGGCTAGCCAGATTGCCGGTTTCCGGGCCGCATCTCCGAGGCTCCAGCTGGCTCCTGGCTCAAGTGCCAGTCTTGCTTGAGATGGAACATCCGTGAGGATCATTGCCGTCCTCACCATGTAGACTCTTATGTGTGACGGCCTATTCTGCTTCATCATAGCCAGTACAGACTTTCGGTGAGTTTGATCATCGCCCCAGGGATAAGATTAGATAACCCCATGATAAGTCTTGCCTAACCCGCGTCAAGGTTCCTTGCCACAAACCGCGACCATCACACGAGTCTTGTATCCCGCTTATGTCTTCTCAACCGGACCAGAGTGCTATTGATGAAGAAGAAGCTCACTTCTCCAACGTAGTCTCCACGTTTAGGAGATATGGTCCTTACGCGGTAACAGACACTTGCTACCCGATATGCTCACTTTTCTCACTGCGAGTTCACCACTCAGCTGGCAGCCAATAATCGGCGGCGGAAGGACCTATATACGCTGCCTAGGGCTGATCAAGAGATGATCGGAAGTCTTGGCTACAAACAGAAGCTCACCGAGGTAGACTCGGCAATCCAAACGAATGCAGAGTTTCTCCACGAGATTGCTAAGGATCCTGGCCTGTTCGACGAGACGGATGAACTAGACGACTCTGTTGGAACCTCTGAACCTCTGACATCGAGTAAGGTATCTTCTGTGCGTCTAGTACCTCAACCCAATCTAATGGTGCCCAAGCCACTTTGCAAAACTTTACCGCTCATGAGCACTCGCACTCGCACGACGCTGCCGGCCACTCACACGATCACGCCGCGGGTAGTCATGTACACGACCATGCCCATCACGCACACGATGCGCCTCGCCGTGGCAAGTATAAGCCTACTGAGTTCGACATGGAGAAGATTCGCAGCACATTGAAGCAGTTCGTTCGCGACTGGAGTACTGAGGTATGACAACCGAGTGGACACGAGAGCAAACCAAACGCTGACCACTGCGATTCACTCATCCAGGGCGAGGAAGAACGCGAGGCCAGCTACAAACCCTTGAAGGACGCGCTGGTGGCTCACTTCTCGGACATACCGTTCGAGGAAAGGTGGCCCTACAGCTGAGCCCGTGCAAAGCGGACGACTGAGATACGGGCAGGTACAACTTTCGCGTTCTGGTCCCAGGTGCTGGCTTAGGTCGGCTCGCGTATGATATCGCAAAACTAGGTAATAAACCTCGTGTCTTGAGACGTAGTACGCGCTGAGCCTCAGCTCAGGCTTTTCATGCCAAGGAAACGAGTTCTCGCACTACATGCTGCTGTCGTCCTTCCATATCTTGAATAGGTCGGTCTGGACCTCTCCACCATTGTCCCTCTGATTGAACGCTGACCACCATAACAGAACACAGGAGATCAACCAGTACACAATCTATCCCTACGTTCACTCTTTCTCCAACATGCCGAATAAGGATGCCTTGTTACGCCCAATACGGATACCGGATGTCCTTCCCAGCGATCTTCCTCGCGACGCGAACTTCTCGCTTGTGGCGGGTGACTTCGAGGAGGTCTACGGGAAAGATGACCATGATGAAGACGATCCTGCAAATGGACAGTGGGATGCTATCGTGACCTGCTTCTTCATTGATACTGCAAGCCCATTTTTTAGTGTCTTTCCATGCTGTGACTGAATCGCTGTCCCAGGCGAAGAATATCGTGAACTATCTGCGCATCATGCACAAGATCCTAGCTCCAGGCGGAGTGTGGATCAACATAGGTGAGGGAACAGAGCGTGCGCCAATGTACATCGGCTCATCACCAGCAGGACCCCTACTATGGCACTTCGAGAACAACACCTCGAACGATCCGTCAGTTGAGCTCGATCTCGAGGAGGTTAAAGAACTTGCGCGCAAGATCGGCTTCGACATCAAGGTTAGCGCGTGCCTGTTGCAACCTTGCGCACAGCAACTCACCACTTTTCTCAGGACGAGCGCACGTACGATACCACGTACGTGACCAACAAGCAGGGCATGTTGGGCTACACATACCGCGCAGCATTCTGGACCGCCACGAAGCGCATTTAGAACCAGCGAAATGACGTGTATTGGTACACCAATGAGAGGAGCTAGAAGTAATGTACAACAAACAACAGTGATAGAGACCAAAGACGGAAAAGATGAAAAGGTACTAGAACGGTACAACAGATGGTGCGGAGAAGAGGTGGGCAGGGTCGGGATCGATGATCATGGCACGTACACGACGAGTAGGAGATTGACCACGAGTTTGTCCAGAGCGCCGTCGTTGATGAACGGCACACGCTCCTTACTGACCGGCGCGGCGCCCAGACGATCACTGAGCACAACGATATCCGCATGCGCAAGCGGTACAGCGCCGCCGGCAGCCGCACGTTGCGCAAGGGCCGCCATGGAGGTATCATCTCCCGCCGCAGAGAGCGCGCGAGCGTAAGGGCTTCCATCCGGTGGTGCGCCGACCTCGAGGTCGACGGGACGATCGACGGGCCAGACGTACGGTCCAGCCGCCCACCGAAGCTCGGGCGCGAGCTTGTACAGCTTGAACGCGTGATAGAGCATGCTATCGCCGCCCTTGAGATGCGGCGTGAGGCTCTCCGCGAGCACCTCAGACGGGTTCACATTGTAATCGCCCGTCATATGCAGCGCGATGCTCCGTCCACGGCAGAGATTGAGCACAGGTGCGATCGCATCGAGGAACTCGTCGCCGGGCGCGATGAGCGGGTCGCCGCCGGCGGGACCGAAGCTGCGGACATGGAGCGCGTAGAGAACGCTAGCGCGCACACCCTTCGTGACGGGCTCGACTTCCGCCGACGCATCAGACATCCATGCCGCCCAGTCCAGACCACCGGAGCGCCCGCCGCGACCCGGGAAGCGCTCGGTGACACCGTCGGATGCGGTGATGCGCAGAGCGCCGCCTCCGCGATGGCGGACAGGGAGAGTGATCATGAGGTTTGCGACGCGCATATCTCCAGAGGGAGGCTGAGGCGGAAGGCTTGCGCCGGTCGGTACGATGTCGAGACGGTCGCGGGTGGCAATGAGGTAGTGACCTGCGGGAAGCGCTGGGAAGAGTGTTGCGCGCACGGCGTCCATGAGGGGATGGTTCGAGAGTTCGAGGGAGGTCGTAAGGGGAAGGTGAGGTGGAAAGCAGAGTGCATCGGCTCCACTGTAGTCTTCGACGGCGGCTGCATACGGTGTGGCGGCGGCTTGAAGCACATCAAGCGCCGGCGGCGTGTCGTAGTCCGTGTCGATGGGGAAGTCAAGCGAGTGCGTGATACCGCTCTACAGGGTCTTGTCAGCGTGCAGTACATAGTAGGGGACATGTAAGGATGCGCACCTTTGTCCGGAAGAACAGGTTGAGGTCCGCAGGATCGATGGGTATGCGACCCGAGATCGCGAATGGGCGCATCTGCGCGCTTACAAGCTTCGCGACAGACGTGGCCAGCACGGCCTGCGCTTCACTGGCATAGTTACTCTGTCCCCGACGGAGGCCGGGGCGTTGCGGCGAGCCCTGCTCGACCTCAAACGTGCGCTGGGGACGATACGGCGATGCGGACCGCGCAGGGTCCGGTACGGGCATGCCGACGATAGGAAGAGGTGGGATCGGCGGCGAGGCGATGGCGGGGGACATCGTAGCGGTCGTAAACATCGTAGTCGTCAAAAGGTTGTAGAGGGTTGCGCGAAGGTCGGGCGACCTATGAGGTCAGAGAGAAGGCGAGGGAGGAGGGTGGGCAGGCCATAGATGGGAGAGCGCGACTATCTATGCGAGGATGGACGGGCACGCGTTTGCGGCGTGTCCGGAGCTTTGTTCGACCGCAGCGCTTGATGAGAGGCCTGACGTCGGATCGTGTATCGATGGAACAGCGCGAGCTGTGTGAGCCATCCGTTTCGAAAGAACCGGCGCGAAGCCTCGTGGCGGATTGTTGTACGTGGTTGGCTTCGTGGCCAGTCGGCGGGCGGGAGGAAAGGGACCGGGCTGGTATCATACGGCTCGCAGGGAACGAGTAGATGGCTGCTAGTCTGGCCAGGTGTGCAGAAGCGCAATCTCAGCGAGTCAATTAGGAGCAGTCACATTACTGCAAGTAGGAGGCCGGGCAGTCGGTGCGAGGCTAATGGGCCTAAGCCAAGATCCACTCTCGGCCGGGGAGAATCCGCGAGAAAAAAGCAATAATCGAAAGCAGGTAGAACAGCCTACACACCGCCTCGGCGCATACATGTTTTACATCTCCCTGCGCGCCATAACATTAATCCGTATACCAAGCTCCTCGTCCTCATCAGATCCACTACAGCTCTTCCTTGCCCGCAGCAGGTTCCTCCACCTTGGCGCCTCCATACTTCTCAAGCGCCTTCAGGCGCTCCGTGAGGGTGGGGTGCGAGTGGTGGTAGGCGCTGTACAGCCAGTCGACCCATACGGTGGAGAGGTTCTTCACGTGCAGTTGCACGAGGGCACGACCCAGACGCACACCCATGTCGCGCGCATCGTCATCCTTGACGAGCGTGGGGAGCTCTGCGGCGAACTTGTCTGCCTGGTACTCGTACCGACGGGAGACGGCGTTCATTGCCATGCCTACGGTAGCCTCGAGCGGCGTCAAGACCATCTATAGATAGCACTGCGTCAGGCCTCGGGAACGGAAAACACGAGGACATAGGAACACACCTGGTAGAGCAAGAAGCTGATGATGGGAGGCGGGTTCGCTGCGACCTCGGGAGGGAAGCCAAAGGACCGAAGGAGTAGTGTCGAGTGACGGAATGCGGGGAAAGCAGCCAGGATAGCGAAAATATGGATCTGCGAGACGATGAGCAGCTTGCTCGGGTGCTGGAAGTACCAGTGGCCAAGTTCGTGCGCTGTTCGACAATATGAGCCCAATGATCCTGAGCGTAACGGATGGGTGGCTTACCAAGGACGGCCTCGACCTCATCTGGCTTCGACTGCTTGATGAGCGTGTCGAAGATCACGATGTGCTTGCTCCATGGCAAACCGTAGAAGTAGGCGTTTGAATGGGAGGAGCGTTTCGAGCCATCGATCTCGTACAAGTGCTTGAGCGGGAACTTGAGCTTCGTGGCGAGGCCCTCGATACGCGACTTAAGCTCGCCAGGCTCGAGTGGCGAGAGCTTGTTGAAGAGGGGCTGGATAAAGGTCGGGAAGATCACAACCATGAGCATCTGGAAGCCGAATCTGTATTGCCGGCGTCAGAAGAAGAGCATACGAGGATCTGCAAGGCACTCACAGAAGCGCCATGAGCCATGGAAGGAAGCGGTCTCCCGCCCATTCAAAGATGTAGAGGAATGCAGTGAGAAGCGGTGTGCCGAGAACAAGGCCAAGGGCCCATCCCTTCACCATGTCGGTGATATAAAGAGTTGGCGTAGTCTTGTTGAAGCCGTGTTCAGCTTCTAACCAGAATGTCTGGTAGATGCTGAGAGGCAAAGTCGGAATCATTGACGTGAACGTGATCAAGAATACGAAGATCACAGATTGCGAGATCTGTGTGGACTAGTGAATCATCGTGCAAGCACCCAAAGGAGGCTCAGCATACCTGGTATTCAGGCCCATAGCCAAATAATTGTAGAGCTGAGCCAGACGCTGACCATGCCCAAGGGTAGTACAATCCAGAAGCAAGTTGGACTGTGTCAATTAATTGTTTGTAGATGGTCGACACAAAGGAGAACTTGGCCTTGTCGCGGCCGTATGTTTGGGATTTAGCGAATACTTCGGGTGTGAAGTGGTCTGCGAGTGCAGGCGGTGGCGCGGTCTTGTTATACAAGGGGAACTGGCGTATCCTGTCATAATACATGGGTCAGCTTCGGATATACACATTGTATTGCGCCACTTACAGAAGATACGATTCGAATATACAGACGGCCCACGAAAAGCCTAGGACGAGACCCTGCCAGTTGATCGGGTCCGTCTTCACGAACGCCAGTTGCTTCTCTACTGCTGCGAGACCAGCATCGAGGTAGTCCATTTTCGGAAGCCGCGATGGCTTTCTGGGAGGGGAGATGGGGGTGTGAAGCAAGGCGCTTGAGTCTCAGCGTGTCGACAACGCGTCCGACGGCGTCAACGCGTACACGTCGCCGTGATCATCACCACGTGGGCGCGTCTAACGCGACGTCACTTGGCGCCCACATGCGTCAACGGGCGCGGCGGCGAATGCGTACATTGACAATTCTCGTTAACAGATAGATACGGTACAGTACTAGAACAGATACTCTCTGTCATCATCAGTACGATTGAACCTAGGCTTAACATATGCAGCGATGACCTTAATAAAAGCACGAAACTATCTCCGAACCAATCACGTTCGACGCGATGTTTCAAGCGCTTCATATCCTTATACCGCATCTCTTAAGCTAGCTGACATGCAGCCTGGTGTCTCGTATACGCTGAGGTCCGCCCGAACTTGTACGGAGCAGCACGATGGACCAGAGAGCATCGACGTTGATGACAAAGTGAGAAAGTCGCACGGCCAATCAGCTTCTCGGGGTTCGTCGCCGGAAACCAACGGGTCACTTCGAGCTCGCGCCTCTCCTCCACACCAACCATCACAGCGAGCAGAGGCCTCGCTCCTTTTCTCCCCTTCTATTCCTCGTTTCAGCGCGCGGCGACCTGCAGCAATGCTGAGACTAGCCAGCACGGCGTCAAAGCCGTCGAGCGCGGGCCGCCTCGCCCGCGTCGTTTGCTCAAACTGCACGACAAGTCGTACGTCGAGCCGTACACGAATATGTATGTGTGGCGGGCTAATATATCGTATCATAGCCAAAAGGACATTTGCATCTACTTCGGCACGTGCTGCGGATATCACGCTCACTGTGGACGGGAAGGAGGTTACCGTACCAGCCGGTGAGCAAACCCGGTAGTGGCATCCTCGGCACTCCCTCACCATCAATCTAGGCTCGGCACTCATTCAGGCTTGCGAGGCCGCCGGCGCAACAATACCTCGGTAAGCGCTTCTCCTGTCTCGACTTTTCGTATATGGTACTGACATCTCTATAGCTTCTGCTACCATGACAGGCTAGCCATCGCTGGTAACTGTCGGTATGTTCTTTCCGACGCGTTCTATGGAGTCATAATAACTCTTCTGTAGTATGTGCTTGGTCGAGGTCGAGAGGTCACCAAAGCCCGTTGCATCTTGGTAAGCACCTATGCTATGGAACGTACTTCTCAAACTGATCTCCGCTTCAGCGCTATGCCAGCCATGCCGGGCGCCAAAGTCTTCACCAACACTCCCTTAGTACACGAAGCGCGTGAGGGTGTCATGGAGTTCTTGCTCGCAAACCATCCGTTGGACTGCCCCATTTGCGACCAGGGTGGCGAGTGTGACTTGCAGGACCAGTCCATGCGCTACGGTTCCGACCGCTCTCGTTTCCACGAAATCACCGGCAAGCGCGCTGTCGAGAACAAGGAGCTTGGCCCGCTTGTCAAGACGAGCATGAACCGTTGCATTCAGTGCACGCGCTGTGTCCGTTTTGCAAACGAGGTCGCCGGCGTCGAGGACCTCGGTACCACCGGTCGTGGTAACGACATGCAAATCGGCATGTACGTCGAGAAGATGATGGACTCGGAGCTTTCTGGCAACATCGTCGACTTGTGTCCTGTCGGTGCGCTCACGAGCAAGCCCTACGCATTCCACGCTCGCCCGTGGGAGCTCAAGAATACCGAGTCTGTCGACGTTCTTGACGCAGTTGGCTCCAACATTCGCATCGACAGCCGCGGTGTTCAAGTCATGCGTGTCCAGCCCAGGACAAATGACGACGTGAACGAAGAGTGGATCTCGGACAAGACCCGCTACGCATTCGACGGCCTCCGCTTCCAGCGCTTGACAACGCCTCTCGTCAAGCAGGGAGACCGCTTCGTACCCGCTTCGTGGGAGGACGCACTCTCCGCCATTGCTCAGGGTCTCAAGACCTCCGGCGCAACAGGCGATGAGATCCAGGCTGTAGCCGGTCACCTCGCCGACACCGAGTCGCTCGTCGTGCTTAAGGATCTCGTCAACCGCCTCGGCTCGGACAACACTGCGCTCGACCACAACGGTGGCTACGCGCCTCCGGTCGCCGGCATCGACGTCCGCTCCAACTTCCTCTTCAACACGACTATCCCCGCTGTTGAGGAAGCTGATGCCATCCTCATTGTTGGTTCCAACCCCCGTCACGAGGCGGCCGTCCTCAACAGCCGCATCCGCAAGAGCTGGTTGCACACCGGTCTTGAGGTCGGTCTTATCGGCGAGCGCGCGGATCTCGCGTACGGCCACGACTACCTCGGCGCAGACGCCAAGGCGCTTGCGGACTTCATCGCTGGCAAGGGCGAGTTCGCGAAGAAGTTCCAGGCCGCAAAGAAGCCGCTCATCATCGTCGGTTCGGCTGTCTCTGAGCACGTCGACGGCCCCGCGATGTACAACGCATTGTCTAAGTTCGTCGAGAAGAACAAGGACAAGCTCGTCACTCCCGAGTGGAATGGTTTCTCCGTCTTGCAACGCGTATGTCATCTCTATATTCTCCTCCGGTATCTCGTTCTGATGTTCACTACAGGCTGCTTCTCGCGCGGCTGCATACGAGATCGGCTTTGTACCCACCAAGAAGGCGGCCGCGGCCAAGCCCAAGTTCATCTACCTCTTGAACGCCGACGAGGTCGACCCCGCCAGCATCCCCAAGGACGCTTTCGTCGTGTACCAGGGCCACCACGGTGACCTCGGTGCACAGCTCGCTGATGTCTGCCTCCCTGGCGCAGCATACACTGAGAAGAGCTCGACATGGGTCAACACCGAGGGTCGCGCCCAGCTTGGTCGCGCTGCTGTTCCTCCCCCTGGCGCCAGCCGCGAGGACTGGAAGATTCTCCGCGCATTGAGCGAGGTTCTCGGCTCGCCAGTGCCTTACGACGATGTCCTGGCTGTACGCGACAGGATGTGGGAGATCTCGCCTTCGCTCGTCCGGTACGACATCACCGAGCGCACGAGCCCTACACTCGCGCTCGTCGGTCTCGCGAATATCGCGCGCGCTACGGGTGGATCAAGCGTCAGCGGCAAGCCGTTCACTAAGGCCATCGAGAACTTCTACCAGACCGACCCGATCTCGCGCGCGAGTGTGACGATGGCGCAGTGCACGAGGGCGTTCGTGTTGAAGGAGGACTATGATGAGAGGGGACAGGCTAGTGAGGCTGCGTTTGCGTAGGGCGTTAGATGGTAGGAGGAAAGGGGTTCGAGAGTATTATTTCGTATCGCTCATAATGCAATTGTCTCTTGCTACATTCATGCCTTGCTGACAGTCAACATGCACTCGTGGTATTGAAACCAAGAATGAGCCACGGTCATCATACGTACATGAGAATAGTCCAGCCTTCTGCTTTACATCATTAATTGTTCTCCAGCACCACGCCATCGCCATTACTGCTCAGTCTTGCACATCGGCCTGACGGTCACCACGTCGAAAGGAGCTATCGAACCCCGTCCGGGAGTCGTGCCCACTGGCCGAGCAATAGACCTTGTACTCCTTGCACAACTTGTCCAAATTGTCGTATAAGTCGTCACCGCACCAGCCCATAATTAAAAGCGCGCTGTCGAGGCTCACGGTGAGTTGGTCCGATGGTATGATGGCTGTCTCCAATTTCGAGCCAGCCTGAGTGTCGTGCGCACACCAGGCGCGAATGGCGCTTGCAAATGCCTGCAGGATTGGAACAGCGCCGCGGTACGAGTTGCTCTCGCGGATTGTCACCACTTCAAGCATTGGAGCCCGAATGTGATTAAGCGCGCTTAATGTATGCGTGGGGGGCCATTGATCGAAGTAGATCTCGCGCAAAGCTGGCAGGAAGATGCGAGCGTGATCGCCGTGATCAGATTCTAGAGGCCAGTCGGAATCTTCAGTACTCCAGGTGATGGATATATATTGAAGTGCGGGATTATGTGAGAGGATTCCAGTTATAGTCTCGAGATAGTCCCCCATGGACTCGCCATCAACCCATTCCTCGTCGGAGTAACTTAGATCAAGACGGGTAAGGCCACACGGAAAGGATGGCTGTATGACGACATGACTGAGCGTGAGAAAACGCAAGTTTATGTGTAGACCGAGATTCGCCATATAGAAGCCGGTACGCGGCGTGAACACGAGTACGCGAAGATGAGGCAATGGTTGGGAGGTGATCAGGTCTATGAATCTATTTGCGTCACCGGGAGTGCGAGACGAATGTGATATCCTTCGGGCGCGATGGAATAGTCCAGGAATCGTACTGGCCAAATCGCTATGAAGGAGGCACTCGGTCGTTCGGAGGTTCAATAAGGCCGATCGTGCGAGGGGTAGTAATGTGTGTGTGGCCTTCCGTCCGCCGGCACCGTATATTATTTCGGCCCAGACGGCAGACATGTCAAAGGTGATGCGTCGCCAAAGGCGACAAATCTGTCCCAACCGCATCCAGTTTGTAACCGTGGAGATCGTGGGGTAGTCGCCAATATAAGTGCAGCGGCAGTCGACATTGTATCGGAATATGATTCGCAGTATTTCTTCGGGAAGACGTGCCACTGGAGCCATGAAGTTCGCTTGCTCGTTCTGCAAAGCGACCATGTACTGCAACCGGAGACGGAGCTTTTCAGCTGCATTCTCAAGCCACTCGACGGTTGAACTGACGAGAGCTGTAGTGGTTACGATGCTGGTGGATGATCCAGCTTTGAGTGTAGCTTCGGACGCGGTGGCCGCTTGAAGGACAAGTTCGAGTTGTGCGGCGTTTATCTCAACATGCGACGGAGGAGGCCTGGCTTAGCGTTAGTATCTGATATGCTGATAGCAGTGCAGGTTTGAAGCAGCGAGCGTACCTGTTCTCCATCGGTAGGAAGCTCGGGAAGTAGGAGATGTTAACCATTAGGACTTGAGGGTTGCAAGTGTTTGGTACGCAAGCGCTCAGTGGGCCGTGGTGGCTTAATGCAAGTCAAGTTACGACGTACATATAGTGTGGCATGTGCATCAAGCGCGTTCGGTCACCGTGACTGATCGGTTCATTCGGACCGGTGCCCGACGGAGTATAATGCGCTTGACTCACGCTTCCACGACCGCCATTCGCGAGCCACCGCCACATATAACGCTCTCGATCTTCATGAAGGGATATACTGCTCATCCATCCTTGCTCTACGGCAGCGGACGCATTCGGCCTTCTCGGGATCACAGGCGGTACCCTCGGGGCGCCCATCGGAGTACAGCGAAATTGGCCCTCGCTGATGATGTATCCGAAATCCGGAACGACGATTGCGCGTACAAGGTGTAATCATCTCTACCGGTCTATGACAAGGGGTATAGAATGTCTTCCCGAAGTGACAGAATCGCATACCCTCTGTATTCACGCATAGGTGCTCGGACTCCAGTCCATGCTTCAATTCGCAGTGAGGTCTGACTTCACTATACTTCATGCGCAAGTAACGACTCGGATAAGTCGCGTAGCATACTGCGCCATAAGGAGCCGGTGTGCTAGTGAACCAGCGGCGCGCATCCATGAGATCATTGGGACAGGTCTATGAGGTTAGGAACTATCGCGTTTCCAATGTTTATCGTACAACAGCAAGCGAATGACAATCCCGAGTGTCCGAAGAGATTCGAGACAACGACGACAGAGCGTAGCGCATACAGCCGAGAACGTAGTCGAGAACATCATGAGGTGGAACAGAACAGGAACGATAAGAGAATCCCAAGGAGAGAAGAGATACGGCCCGGGTAAATACGGCGTCGGATGCGATTCGTGCGGGTTTGGTGGTGTCGATGGGTGATGGAGGATGTGGGTGTGGAACAGTTGAGGTATGTATTGTGTCATACAACGGGAGAATACGCCCAAAGAGGAAGATGATTCGAAGCAGAAAGTCTATAATGCAAAAGGAGCTCGTAAGTCCGTAAGGCGTAAGACCCATGAACACGGACGCATAACACAGGAGATAGGCGCGGGGGTATCATCGTCTCGATCTCAACCGGCGGCACTCCACCTATGGTAAGCCGCGGCCCTACGGCTGTACCACACCGCGCGCGCGCTGACGGACCGGCAGAGCGTGGTTCTTCCCGCGCGCCGCCTCGTTCGCCTCGGCCGTGAGGGCGCCCCAGAAGTCGCTGAGCGGGTCACCAGTGGGAGGCGCGGGCTCGAGCTCGAACCCCTGCCGCACCGCGCTTGTCTCTCCGCTACCGGAGGACACCTGTTGGGTCGGCGAAGGCGGCGCGCTGTAGAGGCTCCCTGGCGGAGAGGAGTCCGAGCCACTGAGACTAGGGGGACTATGCATCGCACCGAGGTCCTCGCCGGTCCCGACGAGCGTCGCGCTGTTGGACCGAGCCCGAGAGACGTTGAAGCTCGTGATGCCCACGGTTGGGCTATGTGGAGTAGAGCGAACAGTGACATGCGCAAGCCCGCTGCTGGGAGGGTGCGGGTGCGTCACGACTGTGTGCGACATAGGGAGCATCCCCTGAGGCTCCGGCGTGTGCTCCTGCTCGTGTCCCCCTAGGAATGGGTAATGAGCGGCATGAGACGCTGATGGGGTATAGAGAAGGCCCGCATCGTGGTGAAGCGAACCCGCCCCGAAAAGACCATGTCCGTGATCCGCTGGGGACGGGTCGACGTGCATCGGAAGAATGGGCAATGTCGGTAGGGCCATGAAGCTCGGAGAGACGACGTCGGGAAAGGGGTTGGGACGCCCAAACGGAGAGTCGGCGTAAGAGTCGCTGCGATACGAACCGATGCCAAGGTCAAAACCGGAGTTGGCGTGCAGGGGTCCGCCGAGTAGAGCCGGAAGCGGTGTCCTGCTTGCGCTCAGACGATGAGCATGACCAGGGCGGCTGCCACTGCCTAGGAACTGTGCGCCGCGGTTGGGCCCCAAAGACGAGGGCAGGCCGTATGAGGGCGAAGGCGAGCGATAGTTAGCGGAGGGCCCGACTGTGAACATCGAAGCGCTGCCATAGCTAGGACCAGCGGCGGAATACGTCGAGGCACGAGGGCGGACATATGGATGGCTGCGCCCATTGCGAGCGAAAGGTATTGGAATATCGCCATGCGGGCCAGTGGATGAATGAGAGGCACCGGGAGGCGGCTGCCAGCCAAAGAGGTTGGAGTTCGAAGACCGTGGTGGACTGCGCGGAACTCTCGCCATAGAAGAGGAGACTGTGCGAGGTAGCGTTGGCGGTGACGGATAGCGGCGATTGTTGCTCGTCGACGTTAGCGCAGGGTGGTAGTTGTGGATGGACATGATGGTTGTAGGTTATCCTTGAGATGAGATTGAGGAGGCAGAGTGAGAGTGTTTGAACGTATCGAGAAGCGGAGGTTTATAAAGTCATGCGTCTCGCATTGGGTAGACGAGCCCCTCTCAGGAAAGTTACCGCATCACGCATTGGAACAGGAGAATCATATCCAGAAAACAGGGGGATTCACCCGTCCGCGCAAGGCCGTTTCGGAGAGAAGCGGAGACAACTCGTGAGCTGTGCTCGTCAGGCCTCTCCTGCTGTAAGTTCGGTAGTCCGTCGCCCGTCTGCAGTCTCCTGTGTTCGCGGCATTACGACCATAAGTATGCGAAACAATTCTGGGCCTCATTCCAGTATCCTGGAATGTGCGGAACGAGGCGATGCTCGGACAGAGCACACCCGCCCGCAGGGGCTTCGCGTGGATTATGCCCCCGAAATTCTAGGAACCTCATGCCTACGGCGGTCGATCGATCGATGCCACAAACGGGAGGTATCGGCGGACAAGAAGAGCGTCACGGGGATGAAAGTGTAGGCCCGGGCTTTCGAAGAGAATGCACGAGCGGAGGCGGTTGCTCAACGCAGGTAAAGGCGTACGAGTCGTCAAGGGGCAAAGTCGTTCTGGAGTACGGGCCCATGCCATGGCATTGAAGATCGAAAAGCTGGGCACGCATGTATCGCAGTTGCACGCGGATGCAGTATCACAAGTTGAAACGGGAAGATGCGGGTGGATGAAGTTGGCGGAGACGAGACGTGGAAATGAACAGCGAATATCGCTCGCGCATGCGGTCGGTCACCCTTGAATGGTTGGGTCGAGAGGGCCAACGCAAGTATGGCCATAGAAGCGTAAGATTCTAGGTAACACAAGAAGCAATAGCTCTACTTCCCCTTGCCATGCGGCGCCTTCCCTTTGCCCCTTCCGAACGTCTTGCCCTCGAAGCCTGGTCGCGCCTTGGTATTTTTCGGCTTGATACCCTTCTTCTTGTCGCTTCTGCGCTCGTTGCGTGCAGCGATGTTGTCGGAGCGCTTCTTCTGCTTCGCCGCCATATTGGCGGCCAGCTGCTCCTTGCGGTCGTCCCTTATTACCCGAATCAGCGACCGAACCATAGAGCCGAAACTAACGGAAAATGAGCACATACCATTCCTTCTTGCTCTTGGACTTGGTCTTCTCGGTGCGCTTCACAGCCTTCTTGAGACGCCCTTCGTCATCGCGGACCTTGATGCCTTCCATCCGAGCCTCAGCCTTCTCCCACATTTCGCGTTCCTGGATACGCTCCCGCTTATCCTCGGGCATTGAAGCGAGCCTCTCCTTCTTGTGGGCAATCTGTGCGAGCGCTTGCGTGGGGTTCGATGCGACTCTCAGACGTTGCGCCTTCTTGTCCTTGGACGAGGAGGGCTCGGAAAGAGCCGAGAAAGCGACATTAGCGATGTCAGAGCGCGGACCGGTATGAGACGTTGAAGCGTCGGGCACCAGGAGCTGCGTCTAGAAAAAAAGAGCAAATGATGAGAAAAAATACGGACGGCCTTCGGAGAATGAGAAATACCTTGGCGGTTGGGCCCTTCGTCTGCTCCCTGGCATCTTTCCCTTCCTTAGACTTGCCCTTCTTCTCCTTCTGCTGTCTAATCTTCTCCTTGGTCTCCTTTCTCCTCCGCTCGCGCATTGCCGCTCTTTGCGCCCTCCTTTCCTCCAACAAGTCGTCCCTGCTGGCCGCATCGTAACCTCCTCTCCCGCGATTGCGCATGCGTGCCATTTTTGCGTGTAGCTTTTCGCGAAGAGCCTCGATGCTCTCGCCCTGAGGCATAGGCACGACATCCCCGTCAACGTCCATATCGCCCTCAGCGTCCGAGTCTGCGCCGAGATCGCCGTCGACGACCATACTCATGTCGCCCGCATCAGAGTCAGAGTCACTGGCGCCAGAGTCGATAGCCCTTTGTTTTCCTTTGCTCTTCGCGGACTGCTCAGCCTGAAGCTCGACTATGGACTTATTATTCGCGGGGTCGAGCTACAAGTGGAGAGATTGTCAGAATTGACGGAGACTTCACGAATATGTTATACGCACTCGGTCACGCTTTGCCTTTTTAGTAGCCTCCTTGATAGC